AACATATATTCTTACTCCAACACTGTATAGGAAACTCCTGAGCTCAGCTGAGGAAAGCGAACATATATTCCTACTCCAACACTGTATAGGAAACTCCTGAGCTCAGCTGAGGAAAGCGAACATATATTCCTACTCCAACACTGTATAGGAAACTCCTGAGCTCAGCTGAGGAAAGCGAACATATATTCCTACTCCAACACTGTATAGGAAACTCCTGAGCTCAGCTGAGGAAAGCGAACATATATTCCTACTCCAACACTGTATAGGAAACTCCTGAGCTCAGCTGAGGAAAGCGAACATATATTCCTACTCCAACACTGTATAGGAAACTCCTGAGCTCAGCTGAGGAAAGCGAACATGTATTCCTACTCCAACACTGTATAGGAAACTCCTGAGCTCAGCTGAGGGAAGCGAACATATATTCCTACTCCAACACTGTTGTTTTTGGCATAGTCTGAATCTAGTGTGGGCATATATGTTTGGTTACCTTAACTGATGCATACATGAATCTGAGCAGAAGTGTACGAAAACCAACAATATTTTCCCTAAAATTTTCCCAGAAATTTCATATTTTTCCCAACCATATGCGTATATTCTCTGTATCTTCGTTAGGCTTATCTGTGGGTGTGGTACGGTTACCTGACGGCACATAGGGACATCTTCCATATAAATCTGCTCGCAGTTTTCACCTCGACGTTTTACGTTGGCGTGTTTGCTTTCTATGATGCTGATGCGGTCAACAGATTCACTACAGTGCTTGTGGTAACTACAGTGGTGGTTGCGGCCTTGGTATGTGATACGAACATTTCTGATGCGAAATTGAAGATTGAAATATTTGCATTCAGTGCAACTACTCTCAGCATAATTTTGTGCGCCTCCCCAACTCCCCAAATAGTGACGGTGATTCGATCGAAGTCTCTAGAGGGGTACCCTACTGCCCTGACAGTTGCTGGGTTCATATCGTCGTGCTTGTGGGCGCAATGTAGCATACTTATGCACTCCTTACCTTATCTCGTCCCGAACCTAGTTGGTGTGCTTTTCAACGGCGCTCAGTTGGTTGTGGTGATATGGATCTATGCTAGAGCTCCGCCGGAGCCTCCTTTGGTGTCACCACAAACTTCTACTGCGACGGAAGGAATTCCGCGTTTGATCAGCTATAGAAAAAAAGCTGATGTGTTTGGCAATAGCGATCGATTTACGGTATATGGCAGTGTATTTTCAGCAGCTAAGGAGTAGAGCTGGGCAATTTACCATTTTGAGATCTATATGTTCATGACGGTGTATGAATATTCGGGGAGAATCGTGTTTGTCAATAGATATCTGTTTTGGGATGTTAACGTAAGGTGAGGAAACTATGGTGAGATTGCCATAGTTTCCCTAGGAGAGAATTTTCTCGGATGGGCTGGCACCTGTTTTCCTACTGCTCCGACTCGGCTGAGGAGAATAGATTTCAAATGCTATGTTGAGATTTTTCTTCACATTTTCCCCAGAGTTTTCATGATTATGTTTTCCTCTTATCTGCTCTTCATCTTGCCAATCGCACTAGGCTGGGCTCCCTATGCGGGGGTAAGTCATAATAGTATGTTTTCAATTTATAATCATCTTAGAATCGCGTGGATGGAAAACTCTCGACGGCTGCGTGGGGATCTCTAGGGGCGGCTTCGCCGGAAAATCCTGAGGTATGGAAAATGCGAGGATGTTTCGGGATAATTTTTTGGCAGATTCTCCAGCCTTCTGATGTTGAGGATGCCAGCACGGAAACTCCAACGACAGAGGAGGTCACGGAGGAGCTCGGGGGGAAGCAGCCTGATTCGGTATGGTGCATTCGGATGTTCTTGGGAGAGCTGGCTGGGGTGGTAGGTGCCTTGGGAGAGTGAGGGGGCGACCCC